TATAGTGCTGGTATGAGAGTGTAAATCACCATCCTTTCTGTAGAGCAGTATGGTGCTTTTTTAAATGCTGATGCCTTTTTAACCAGGAATTTCACTTCCATGAATTTTTCCTAAAGGAAATATGCCAAAATACAAAGTTTATGGCAGTGTTGTTTTCTCATTTGTTAAAATTGGCTACAGTCTAAATGTCCATCAACATGGTATTGCTTGAGTTCTGTACACAGTACATCCATACAATGGAGTAATAAGTCATTAAAGTTAATGTAGATCAGTATTTAAAGAAGTAGAAGTAGTACATAAAATCTTACTGTGCATTTGTCTCAGAACTTGGTGTTACTGCTCTCTGGAATGCTCTTCCCTCGGATGTTCTCTTGGTTGGCTCCTCACCTGCTTCATATTTTTTCTCAAATGTCACCTTATGAGTGTGTTTTCCCTATTCACTTTATTTAACATAGTTATCTATATCACAGTCCCTTATTTACTTTTTCTGCTTTATTTTTTCTTATAGTATTCATCACCACTTGACATATTATGCATTTATTTATTGTATAGCTCTTCCCATTAGAATATAATTCTGTGAGGACAGAACATCTGTCTATATTGTTCATTGTTGTATCCTCAGCACCCAAAACGATGTCTAGCATGTGGAAGCTCCTAAACGATACTTGCTGAATGTTAAATGTATTTATGTATTATTAAGTGGAAAATGTGATGACCTGTTCAGCATAAACTGATCCCACTTTTGCGGAAAAATGATATTTGCATACGATTATATATATATAAAATCTCCAGATCAAGGATTATGAATAATTTTTACTGCCTTTTTTCTGCCTGAAATGAGAACTGAGTATTTTTATAGTCACTAAAAACAAAGATGGTAATATTGTGGGGAAAGAAGGTGTGACACTTAGGTCTCCATTAAGCATTACAAGAATTTACTAATCCCTGTGATGGCAAAAGCACTGACACTGCCTGACTTTTCCTCTTGCAGCTGGCACCTCCTCCACCTCCACTTACTGATATGTCTGACACCGCTGAAAATGCTGGAGGAGGTTTACCAACAACGATGGGAGGACCTCTTCCTCCACATCTGGCTCTCAAGGCAGGTGAGGGACTTGATGTGTACACACGACTGAGAATAAGATACACACGATCTTGTTTGGTCACCATCTCTTTTCTCATTTGGATAAAAAGAAATAACTACAGTAGATTCTTGATGTTAAGATGGACAACCCAAGGCCTTCATAAATTTGCAAATGCCAGCAGATCATTTAATTTTTCTTAGAAAGTGTGGTGCAGCATAATTCTTTGCTGTTGTTAGCCTCTACTAAATTTTTAATCTCTGAAGAGATTTTCTTGTTTCCAACTTATTTCTACCAAATATATGGTAGATTTGTTTGTTTACCTTATAGACCCAAGTCATTGCTGAATTCTACATATAGTCAAAACTTTTATTGGGTTGTTTACTGTAGGGTAGATTAACTAGGATTTTGGTCAAATTGCTTACGTCTCAGATCTAGTATTTATGAAATAACAGTAGTATCTACCTCATAACATTGTTTTGAGGAGTAAGTGGAAAAAATGCATGTAATAAACTTAGAGTTAAATTAGTCATTGCTAACTGCTATTTTTAGTTATGCTGCTTTGTCATCAGTGGTCATCACTTTCTTACTCCTCTTCAGCTTCACCTTTTTTCCATCATCTTAGCTTTCTTTTCAGGGTCATGGTTAGCAAAGAAAAATTTTATCACTTAATCTGTTACATATGTACAAGTTTAAAACAAAGCTACATTGATCATATATACTGGATTGTCAGTCACTTTGATTCACTAGTGAATTAGCTTTGCCCCATATATCAGCCATGGCAATTGCAATGTAGACCTCTACTTGAGTGATGTAACACTTTGCAAGTTAAGCCATGGACTTTCAGGCCCCTTTTCAAATAATTGAAACCTTGAATTTCTAAATGTGGAGTGCCAAAATATAAATTAGGAAAACTCTTTAAAATATTTAGGATTTTTCTTCTGTTTAATTCATTAAGAGAGAACAGTCATTTTCTTTCATTAACAGAAAATAATTCTGGAGTTGGGGCCTCTGGCTATGGGGCTCCTGGGCCCACCTGGGACCGGGGAGCCAACTTGAAGGATTACTACTCCAGAAAGGAGGAACAGGAAGTCCAAGCGGTAAGCTAGCACCCTGTGCTACATCTCTGGGAATGTGATTTGGGACTTAGTTCACAGCAAAGTTAGGATATTCATAAGTTAATAATTTAGTGATTCTTTTAAGTGTTTATTTGAGACTGCTTATTCACACAGGTCACCATAAAACAAAACTACCCATAAATTTGCTCATATGAGTTACCTGTGAAAAAACAGTATTTTTCCTGGTGGTAATAAAAAGTCTCCTCATCTGCTTTATAGGAAATGTAATTATCTCAGGAAACTTTGTTTCATGAGCATGTATAGTAAATATGTCTTAATAGTGCAGCTTATTTTTCCACTTAATATATTTAAAGTGTGAGAACAAGTATGAAAAAATTTGTCAAAAGTTTCTTAGGAACAGTTTAAATATAATATATTGACTGACAGCTTGATTATACAATAGGACCTTCAGATGCAGTAAAAACTAATTCTGGTTTAGTTTCGACCAGGACTAAAAACTATTAGAAACAGCTTTTGCACTATAAAGGATGGTACAAAGAAGGTATTATAAATTGCTGGACCTTAAGTATGCATAACTAAACTATAATTAGTGCAGCCTAATTTAATTATCATTGATTCCACAGACTCTAGAGTCAGAAGAAGTAGATTTAAATGCCGGGCTTCATGGAAACTGGACCTTGGAAAATGCTAAGGCTCGTCTGAACCAATTTTTCCAAAAAGAAAAGATCCAAGGAGAATATAAGTACACCCAAGTGGGTCCTGATCACAACAGGTTTGCTTGTTTCGCTCTTTTCCTTCTATAGTAAGTTGAGGTTGTTTTGGATATTCATTGTTGAGTGTGTTCTGTTTTTGTACATGTTATTTGCTTCATTGTGTGGATTGGCAGTGAATTGTGAAAAGAAGATATATTACTTTGCACATGAAGAATTGTTATTGAGTTGTGAAGTTTACTGTGGTTTTCACCTGAGTATGATTTTAGCTATGTAAGAAGTTCTGCAAAAATGTGCTGTTTGTGATACTAGACTTAAGCTTTTTATTTGAATCTGAGAGGCAAAAGTCATAGCCCTTAAGTGGTGGTTTGTCCTGAATTGACTTAAAAACCAGCTGGAAGTGGTGATTTTGTTCACTGTGTTATCATTAGAGGCAGTTCAAAGGACTGTCTCTTTAATGGGCCAGGTTGGACAGTTAAGTTTCAGAGTCTCACAGGTAGATTGTATTGTGTCTAGATCCAAATTTCACTTCAGCTTTGAAAGTTGCCTGCTCCTATGACTCCTGTTGTTGAAATTTAAGGGCTTATTGTAAAGTTTAGGAGGACAGCCTCAATCTTTGTGAGTTAAATTACCGTTCTTTTTTCTGTTAAATTTATAAAACTGAACTAAAGGGAGGTCATTTTAACAGTGACAGTATGTTTCTCAGCCTGCTTGCTGTTCTTCCTGAGAGCATTCCAGGGTGTAGTAATTATTACTCCCAGGAAGGCTCATATGGATTAGACTCTTCTGGGGGGCACTTAATTTGTATTGGAAGGAGGGGGGGAAGGTTGTAATGGAAACCTTCTGAATGATTCAATATGCTGTCCTTAATTATACAAAATAGTTTTATTCAAAATACATTAAAAATATTTTTCTTGAAAATCAAAGTGCTTTCCCTTGGATGCATTTAGCAACTCTAAAATAATTTATTACTAATATAAAACTTCAGTACTTGTCAAAATGATGTTCAGAGCTTACTTTCCCCTGCTTCCCACTGTTTTGTTTAATCCTGAATTCTCAAATATTTTATTGCTGGTGTTAGGCTTTTTAAAGCCCTCGGATTTTAAAGGAAAGATATACATTTGTATATAATTTGTTTTCTTTAATATTTTGTCCTTCTGAACTGATTGGGCTCAGTAGCACTTGGTTACTCTAAGAACAATAAGATACCTAGTGCACCTGAAGCTCATTGTTGGAAACATCTGTTGATATCATTATCTTATCATTGGTTTCCAATACAAAGAAAAGAAGAATTCAGGACATGACAGTGTGGGAGGCAAAGACATTTAGGGGATCTAGGACAGCGTTGCTCCTTGTATGTCCTTTATTTAAAGGCATAACAGACAGCGATACCAGAGGTCTGTGTTCACACACACATGTGCTGCTGCTTAGGCTGAACTAAGCAATCACATGGGATACTATTGTAAACTGATTTCTGGTGTCGCTGTTCCCCCTAGGTGGAGGAGAATGAGATTGAGTGCTGACTTTAAGCCTGGCTGAGAAACATACTGGCATCGGTGTCATTAATGAAAGGGTGGATGTTGTTCCCCTGAAGCCTCTGTGCCTGAAGGTCAGTTCACAAGAGGTATAGGAAGGAATCTAACATTTGTTTTTTTCTTAAGCCTCACATAACCTTTTATTCTATTCACAGCACAAAGTCAAGATTAGAAAGTACCTGAGCAGTGGAAGGACCAGAATGCATAGTTTGGGAAGGGCAGTTTTTCCTTTGCTAAAACCTATATTCATTCCCTAGAATCTGCTCGCAGTTTTAGCTATGATGTTAAAGAATTTGTGTTTTTTCCTCTGAGACGTGATTTAAGTAAATGTGATACAAATAGGCTAAATTTTTCGTTATGGAGGGCTGCTTCCAACTGCAGGCAGATATCAGAACCCTGCCTCAGGAGCCTCTGATATGTGCAAAGTGTTTGAATGTGTATGTGTGAGTTTGCATAACAGACTGCAGTCATTAATGGGTGGCCTATGCACAGGAATCTTAAAATAATCATAATATAATTGAA